GAAAGTTATCGCACAAGCTGCATACACAAAAGCAAACAGGGAAGTGAAGAAGAGCATCAGAGCTGACAAACGAAAATACGTGGAAGATCTAGCAATGACGGCCGAAAAGGCTGCAAGAGAAGGAAACATGAGACAATTGTACGAAACAACAAAGAAGCTCGCCGGGAACTATCGTAAACCAGAACGACCAGTGAAAAGCAAGGAAGGCAAAGTAATCAGCAACACTGAACAACAGCGAAATAGGTGGGTAGAGCACTTTCAAGAACTCCTGAATCGACCAGCTCCACTGAACACACCCAACATCGAAGCAGCATCCACGGACCTCCCAATTAATATTGGCGCACCCACGATTGAGGAGATCAGTACAGCCATCAGACAAATCAAGAACGGCAAAGCAGCAGGACCAGACAACATTCCAGCAGAGGCAATGAAAGCAGATGTGGAAGCAACTGCGAAAATATTTCACATTCTCTTCAAGAAGATTTGGGATGAGGAACAAGTACCATCAGATTGGAAAGAAGGATACCTGATCAAAATACCAAAGAAAGGCGATCTCAGCAAGTGTGAGAACTACAGAGGCATCACTCTTCTTTCAATACCAGGCAAAGTCTTCAACAGGGTATTGTTAAACAGAATGAAGGACTTCGTAGACGCCCAACTTCGAGATCAACAGGCCGGATTTCGGAAGGATCGATCGTGTACTGACCAAATTGCTACATTACGGATCATTGTGGAACAATCAATTGAATGGAACTCACCACTCTACATCAACTTCATCGACTATGAGAAAGCATTCGATAGCGTGGATAGGAAAACACTGTGGAGGCTTCTTCGACACTACGGGGTGCCTGAGAAAATAGTCAACATCATACGGAATTCTTATGATGGATTCAACTGCAAAATCGTGCACGGAGGTCAGCTGACAGACTCCTTTGAGGTGAAGACCGGTGTCAGGCAAGGTTGCTTACTCTCACCCTTTCTCTTTCTCCTGGTCATCGACTGGATTATGAAGACGTCAACATCTGGAGGGAAGCTCGGTATCAACTGGACAGTTAGGACGCAGCTGGACGATCTGGACTTCGCAGATGACCTGGCTCTTCTATCGCACACTCAACAACAAATGCAAGAGAAGACGACCAGTGTAGCAGCAGCCTCTGCAGCAGTAGGTCTCAACATACATAAACGAAAAAGCAAAATTCTCCGATGCAACACAACATGCACCAACCGAATCACGCTTGATGGAGATACCTTGGAGGACGTTAACACCTTCACATATCTTGGCAGCATCATCGACGAGAAAGGTGGATCGGACGCAGATGTGAGGGCGCGGATTGGCAAAGCGAGGGCTACATTTCTACAGTTGAAAAATATCTGGAACTCCAAACAACTTTCAAACAAAACCAAAATCAGGATTTTCAATACAAATGTCAAGACAGTTCTACTGTATGGAGCGGAAACATGGAGAACTACCAAAGCCATCATCCAGAAGATACAAGTGTTTATTAACAGCTGTCTACGTAAAATACTTCGTATTCGTTGGCCAGACACCATCAGCAACAACGAACTGTGGGAGAGAACAAGTCAGATTCCAATGGGGGAGGAAATCAGGAAGAAGCGGTGGAAGTGGATAGGACATACACTACGAAAAGCACCCAACTGCGTCACTAGACAAGCCCTCACCTGGAACCCTCAAGGCAAAAGGAAAAGAGGAAGGCCAAGGAACACACTACGTCGAGAAATAGAGAAAGATATGAGAGGAATGAACAAACATTGGACAGAACTGGAGAGGGAAGCCCAGGACAGAGTTGGTTGGAGAAAACTGGTGGGCGGCCTATGCTCCATTGGGGGTAACAGGCGAAAGTAAGTAAGTAAGTGCAACTGCTACTGCTACTGAATCATCAGTTTTATGATATTCTGGACTATGCACAGGTGTATTATTTTGGTGGTGTATGTTATGTTATATTATCAATCGCTCGTATATCCTGAGATAACCGTATAAGCAATGCTGTCGTTAGGAAACGAGTTCTAGGTAAGGATGAGAAATCAATAGATGAAGTAGTGAAACTTCATCAGTTGAGATGGTTGGGACATGTGTTACGACGTATGCCTAACCACCGACTACCTCGACGAGCTAAGGGCGACCAGACCAAAACATGGCAAAAATCCATGAAGTCACTGACAAGTGGACTGAGTCATGTTGGTAGATGTAGGGCTAGCTGGTTGGGGTCCGCGAGACGAAAGTCACCAATGGTTAGAGACCTTGAATGGCATGGCTCAGATGCATTCACTCTGTGTGCTTTTTAATTCTAACCTTCTGAATTCCTCATCATCTCTACCTTTCTCCTTCTAAATTTATCTCACTGAATTATGCAACTCGAATCATATCTTCGCTCCCTAATCGTCTCCATTGCTGCTAATAATTCTACTATCACTATCACTCTTGGATTTGAACTGACAGTTACGTCTCTGTGCTGACGTGGTATGGCAACCTGAACTGATTGATGTACTTATGTACGAAGTTCTGTGTTGTATCTGTCTGTCTGTCTGTCTGTCTGTCTATCAATCACATGTCCAAGTTAATGGACTGTGTTGTTGTAATTGACATGGTAGATAAAAAATCAATAAATTTTACACACAAAAATATTTCATCAACAAATAAACAACTGACTTTGTTCTCTGTAGAATCTTGTCCTGGAGTCTGTGACTTGACAGCTAAATAAACAGAATATTCTGTAATTTTTCCCGCTGTATTCTGTGGTGCTTCCCAGGTTAAATGTGCACCACTATCAGATTTAGTTATTTTTATAGCACTTGGCGCTCCTGGATAACCAGGTAAACATGTTTTAAATGCACTAATCTCTGACCATGGACCACGACCACATGCATTAAGACCTGCAACACGAAATTTATAAGCTGTTCCAGGGGCAAGTTGAAATTTGGGGCCTTGTGTAGTTAACCCATTGGGTCCAATCCCATTTGGACCTTGTAATGCACTGATAGCCTGTTTTTGATGAAAGCATTAAAGAAACAATGGATATAGATACAACTGAATACCGTTTATGAAATTGGTTAGAGATTTTGAATGACACATAGCTCAAAACCGATTGCAATGGAGTAGTAGGTGCATCCATTCTTTGTCTTATCTCACATGACCTCATGCGCCAAGGACCTATCTATCTTTCTCTTTTTCAAACCCTAATCCTTTTCATTACCGCTAATGCTTCTACTGTCACTACTACTGTGGTGCGAGCTACTTATAAGTAGTATATGACGTGAGTGTCAGTCAACGTTATGTCTGGCAGCAGAAGATGGTGGAAGATCAAGAAAGGAAGAGTTAGAAGAACACAATGGAATTTGTATGAAACGCATGAATAGTGAGTGACAATGGATTAGATGTTTTGCAACAGGAACAGTCCAGTTCGATATGATGAACTGATATTTTGCAAATGAACGATTTACGATATGGTTTTCCGATTTTACTGAGTAACTCTGTAATTTTCGTTAAATACAATTCGGTTGCCCCACCTGTGTTCTCGTTCACTACAATACCAAATTAGCACACAGAGATGCAATTGTAGAAATATTAGCAGTAATCGGATATTTTAGAGTTCGAAGATATTATTCAACCAGGGCCCTTCCACGATATGGGCAGCCGGGAAGTAACATCCACGAGACTAAATCGCTCGAAACCCAAATCAATAATACTATGGCTTAAACAATAAATACAGTAAGTAAGACACCACACTCTGTGTAGAATTACCAGTGTTGCTATACACAGAAGTACTTATTGTCAACATTACACAAGAATAACATTGTATATAATAAAAAAACTTACTTCCATATGTACACCAGCATCATTAGTACAAGCAGAATACATGGTTACAGTGTAATTTGTCGATTTAATAACACCAACATCATGCCAAGAATTATCACCTCGACTAATCAATGTACCAGGTGTTGTTGTTACATTCGATGAAGAATTGATCAATGAAGAACAATTCGTAGATGGTGATGCTGATGAGGTGATAACCGATTGAGAATTCGTAACTAAACCTGTCGTCGTCGTCATTGAACGAGAAACTTGTCCACCTCCTAATGTTGTAGATAATAATGGAGATAAACGAGACAACGGGGCGGAAACAGCAACTAAACGAGCTGTATTTGGATTGGAATAAATTGTGGCATGTGATGTGATTGGATCATTTTCTGTTGAAAAATGATGGGGAAAAAAATGCATACAGATATATATATATATATAAATCAGCAAAAATAACATCTACCATGAATATTTGCAATTGTGAAAATCAATGAATAGAATGCTCATCAATCGATTGAACGCTATGATATAACGTGACCAAGTGAAGCTTACTCACGAGGTCGTATGATTTATTTTGAGTTAGGCTCGTGGAATGATTAATCAAAATCAAAGACAACACAGACAGACAGAAAGATACAACGCAGAACTTCGTACACAAGTACATCAGTTCAGGTTGCGATAACACGTCAGCACAGAGACGCAACTGTCAGTTCAAATCCAACAGTGATAGAGATAGTTGAAGTATTAGCAGAAATGGAGAAGATTAGAGAGCGAAGATATGATTTGAGAAGTATAATTCAGTGAGATAAATTTAGAAAGAGAAAGACAGAGATGATGAGCAATTCAGAAGATTAGAATTTGAGAGAACACAAAGAGTGGATACACCTGCGCCACTGTAAAGGATTCCCAGCCATGTCGTTCAAGGTCTCTAACCATCGGTGACCTTCGTCTCGCGGACTCTAACCAGATAGCCTATATCTACAACATGACTCAGTACACTTGCCAGTGACTTCATGCATTTCTGCCATGTTTTGGTTTGGCCGCCCCTAACTTTCTTCCAACCTACTACCACACCACAAAACAAAGCTCGACGAGGTAGTCGGTGGTTAGGCATATGCAACACATGTCCCTAACCACCTCAACTGATGAAGTTTCATTACTTCATCTATTGATCTGCCATTCTTACCTAGCACCCGTTTCCTAATTACAGAGTTGCTCAATTGGGTGTCCCACGATATACGATCAATGCTTTTGAGACCCCTATGATCGAAAACCAATAACCGACGAGTATCTTCTGCTCTCATTGGCCATGTTTCACAGCCATGAAGTAAGACGGAGCGAACCACTGCACAGTACACTCGTCCTTTTCATTCAGCAAACGAATATCTCGCCTATGCCATAAGTGACACAGGTCGGCAAAAGCCAATTGAGGCTTCTCTAGCCTTCTATATTTTCGTCAGTCACCTTGCTATCAGCACTGATGAGAATCCCCAGATAAATGAAGCGGTCTACACGTTCGACTATTTCACTCCCCAGGTGCCGATGAGACCCAATCTTGAAGCAACATTTTACATTTTGACAGGGAGGACCTCATTCCGAACATGCTTGCATTATTGCTTAGGATGGTCAGAAGACCTTGCATTTTGTCAGCGTCTTCACCAAGTAGAACTATGTCATCAGCATATTCTAAGTCAATAAGCGATCTTCCTGAAAATTCAGACGATGATAAGATCAAAGACTACATAGACATTATTAAACCTGAGATGATGCATAGTTTTCTTTCTCATACAGTAAAACAGAATGTTTACTATACACACACAAAGTGTGGAATACCACATAAAACAAGATAAAAAGGTTACAAATGATTGGAGACAATGAATTCACTGGTGAGTGGAATGAAAACATTTGACTAATTGACCCTCTTTTATCTTTTAGCATTATTTTAACACCAGTGAATAATTTACAGACTAGACAATACAGTGACAAAGATATTAATCTATAATAGATGGAGAGAGAGATGCATAACACTAGTTTATTCCTACTTATATAAAAAAAGCTGGTGAGTCAACTCTATTTACATATTAACATGGTGAAACCATATCGATCATATATATATATGGAATAGAAAAATACTTGCTCAACTCCTTTCCCTTAAACATGACAGTAACCATTAATATTTTGTTCGTAGGTGATTCTTACAAAATTTAAAAACGTTTGAGATAAGTACCTGCTACAGCCTAATTATTATTGTACACACAAATTCAGTGTAATGTCAAAACATTGAACATAACCGCCCTCATACCCGTAACAACACACGAGACCAAATCGGTCACAACTAAATCGTTCTTACACCCCCTAATATCTCTCTTATCTCTACGGCTAACTAGTCTCATTCCTTGAGCTCACTGCACCGCTGATGCAAACGATGCGAGTTCACGAAACGTTCCTGGTTCCCTTAAACCCCGTTCTAAACCACATGTTGGAGCATTTATATAAAATACAGACATTGTGTCAAATAGGGAAACAGGTATCCCTAGCTAGGACCTTAGAATCTCGTGCCATCGATGTATGCTGCGTCTCCGAAATGCGCAGCCAGGATCCTAGTAAAATTATTAATCTGATTTCACCTTGTCAAAATAAAGAAGCAGCTCAATTTACTCTTCGTGTATCCGGTAACCCTGATGCTGCTTCCTGGGTTCTCGCTGGTGTAGGTATATAATTGAGTAGTAGGGCAGAACTAGCGCTCCTAGACTAGATATCCATGTAGATAGTCGCTTGTACGCTGTCCGACTGAACGGGACAGTAAGGATTCGGAGAAATGGGGACAACCGTCGTTGCTTCTTCGTCGTATCTGCCTATGTCCCCACTGACTACAGTCCAGACGACGTGAAAGATGAGTTTTACAGAAAGCTTTCGGACCTCCTCCAAAAAGTTAGGCACTCTGATATAGTTATAATGGCTGGTGACTTCAATGCACAAGTAGGTAGACTGAGTGAAAATGAAAGACACCTGGGTGGATGTTATGGTGTAGCGGCTCAGAGAACAGACCGTCTGTTGCAACTATGCTCAGATAACCGCCTATTCTTACCAAACTACTAACTTTAGGAATAAGGAAAAGCATCTCTTGACATGGCGAACCCCCAAAGTCGTCTCAAAGCTGGACCCAACTAGATCACATCGCCATCAGCCACCGATGGAGAGGTTCGATAGAGGACTTTCGCTGTTTCTGGGGCACCTGTTTAGATTCAGATCATGCTCTAGAGCGAGCGCGTATTTGCTTGAGGCTTACTGGACGTAGGAAAGACACCACAAGGAAACCTCCTAGGGCTCTACCTAACGATAATAAAGATAAGAATATATTTCAGGAACAATTAGAAAAACAGTTACGCGACCAGGTAGTAAGTGATGCCACCCTTAGGCAGCTTGGAATGATATCGAAATGTCAGTGGAAACAGCAGTGATATCTGCTAGTAAGGTTAACCATAAGTCTAGAATGAAGCCGTGGATCACTGTACCATCCACCGATCTGATGGATGCCCGAAAACCCATCCCACCTGGCTCTGAACATGATGAAGAACGAAGTCAGCTTAAGAGCAGACTGATAAAAAGCCTGCGCAACGACCGTGAATAGTGGTGGGTTAGAGCATATGGGCATCAATATGAGCTGCCACAACATACTACTAGCACAGAAATACGCCAGAGTAGTAAGGGTAATTGAAAGTTCTAAGTATCAAAGATATGATTTGAGAGAATACAGATTCTAAGAATAAAACACTTGAAATAATTAAAAACAATAGAATGTAAGCGAAAAGTAGGAGTTAATACATGTATGCGATTGTAAACGATCCAGAGTGAATTCGCCAAACATCCCCAAACATTGGTTATGATAATCATGCCGCCCTTAGAAAGGCAGTCAATCACTATCAACATTGAATAACTTTAGACACATGTTATATTTTGGTTTAGCTACTCCCAAATTTATTTCAATCTACTTTTACACCACCAGAAAAACATTACTGGTAAGTCAAAATAACAAAGTACGATTTTGTCACCTCTAACTCGCCGTAAAATTTTATGAAGGATTTGATTTTGACCAATTTGGTCTCGTGTGCTGTTACGGGTATGAGGGTGGGTGTCACTTCCCGGCTGCCCACAAAATAGAAAGAAGTTCCTTGAGGGACCTGAAAAGGAAGGTAGATTAGCGTTGGTCTTAGAGACCTGGGTGCGTGACCGCAGAACCCAAGGGACAACTGCTTGAGGCCGGTCACGTACGATCTTATTATGAAGGGTTTTTTGATTACTAGCTCCGCTCTTGAGAGCCCTTAGTGCGTACCCTGACCGCCGGAGACGGGTAAGGTGTGACATTTTTGGGGTTGACCTTTCCTAACCCTTCATTCCTTGTGAAAAGGCAGCATCGCTGCAGATGCTGGTTGTCCGAGGAAAACACCTTACTGCTGTTACACCCCTCTGCAGTCAGCAGTACGACTTCGCCCTCAGACCTTGGGTAGCTGCTTTTAGTCTCCTCGTTCTCCAATCGACCTGACTAGCATGGACATATGTTCCAGCCAATGTAGCTCGGTTGGGTTATCACGATAGGCAAGCCACGTCAAGGTAGCAGCTACGGTCATTTTTTTTCAGTGTGTCAATACGAGATTGATTTTATATTTTTCAGTGGCAAATTATACTTCAAGTCAATACAATCCGCTTATAAATTAAAGTTTTACAGTTTTATAAAAATCAACACACTTGAAAAAAAAAAGGCATCAACACTCACCACGATCATCATGAGTTCCACTTCGACGAGCAGCAACTAATGCTAATGTTTCTAAAGGATCCGTAAGAGAACTACCATTTCCTTCTTTTTCATCTAAATAAAAATTGAGATTAAAGACGTATTAGTTTATATAATATGAAATAATCGTAATCATAATGAAAAATGAAAAAATGAATGAATGTTTCAGTTTGATTGAATTTTGAAGCATCACTGCGCTGCTCTGCGCTGCGTTAAGTAATGTTATTGTTAGGATATTCACCAAATATTCTAAGAGTACTACTATTTTTGGAAGTATAATCCTATTGGTCAAAATTATGGTCGTTTTAACTGTCAAAGTTAAATACTTCAATGTTGTCTCTGATTTGTGGTCATCCAGACTGTCAATGTCACAAACTTCGATGCTGTTTCCTATTCGACCTAAATGTATTAAAATACGCACTATCTGTAAGACTTCATGATTCCGATTCCGTTTTTCCTGCCTACCTCTCTACCATACTCGAACCATCAAACAACTTCATCCAACAGCGTTATGTTCTGATCTATATTGGCGATTTGGGAATAGTATTTGAGGTCGTACTGGGATATTTGAATTCGGACGTCGGTAGGATTTGAATAGCTACGTAGCAGCATTATAACACTATTAATGATGACAATGGTAACGAATGAAAATGGCCCAATTTGTGAACATTTGTCATTGGAATTCTCTACTTCAAGTAGTGTTCGTCAGGGATGTCCACTTTCTCCTTTCATGTTTAACTTTGTCGTAGATATGCGTCAAGAGTTAACATTAAGCTCGTCAGACTTTTCAGGGGTAGACCTTCTACCAGGAGGCTCACTTATTGACTTAGAATATGCCAATGACAAAGTCCTACTTGGTGAAGATGCTGACAAAATGCAGAGTCTTCTGACTACCCTAAGCAACAATGCAAGCATGTTCGGGATGCGGTTCCCCCCCCCCCCCGAAATGCAAAATGTTGCTTCAAGATTGGGTTTCATCGGCACCTGAACTAGTGATAGGGAGTGAAGTAGTCGAGCGTGTTGACCGCTTCATTTATCTGGCGAGTCTCATCAGTGCTGATGGCCTGGTGACTGACGAAATCTCAGCACGGATACAGAAAGCTCCATTGGTTTTTGCCAACCTGTTTCACTTATGACGCAGGCGAGATATCCGTTCGCTAACCAAAGGACGGGTGTACTGTGCAGTAGTTCGCTCCGCTCTCCAATATGGCTGTGAAACATGGCCGTTAAAAGTAGATGTTCGTAGGTTACTAGTATTCAATAGGATATTCACCAAATATCCTAAGAGTACTACTATTTTTGGAAGTATATATCCTATTGGTCGATTTCTATTGGTCAAAATAAATGGTCGTTTTAATTGTCAAAGTTAAATACTTCAATGTTGTCTCTTATTGGTGGTCATTCGGACTGTCAATGTCATTACAAATGTTCTTTCCTATTGGTCGTCGTCTTAAACTGTCAATGTCACAGACTTTGATGCTGTTTCCTATTCGACACACTATCTGTAAGACTCCATGATTCCGATTCCGTTTCTTCCTGCCTACCTCTCTTCTGTACTCGACCCAATAAACAACTTCATCCCACTGTGTTGCGTTCTGATATATAGGAGATTTGGAAATAGCATTTTGGGTCGTACTGGGATATTTGAATTTGGACGCCGCTAGGACTTAATAGCTATACGTAGCACCGTTACAACAGTTATTATTAGTGGTATTATCAAAATAACAATTCATGGCGGGTAATAAATAGGCTGATTTTATTCTAAACACTGATCGATTAATTCAATTAATTTAGGAATAAAAATTGAAACACTACAAAATATATAACAATTCATTGAATGAGAAATTGATTCAACCGAAACTAATACTTTCTACTACCTCTATGACTACTACTATTATGAGATTTGAGAATAAACTAGTTGATTTGTTTGTGGGCATTACAAATTGAACGGATATACACATAGGAACCAAGTTCTATGTTGTAGCTGGTTGACTGAATATGAACCGACTGCCTTGACGAGTTATGTTTTGTGGTGTACAAGTAGGTTGAAAGAAAGCTAGGGGCGGCAGCCAAACCAAAACATGGCACAAATCCAAGAAGTAACTAACAACTCGACTGAGTCATGTTGGTAGATGCAGGTTACCTGGTTGGAGTCCGCGAGACGAAAGTCATCAATGGTTAGAGACCTTGAACGACATGGCTCAAAATCGTTTGCAATGGCACAAGTGCATCCATTCTTTGAGCTCTCTCAAATCCTAATCTTTTGGATTCGTCAACATCTCTACTTTTGTCTTTCTAACCTTATCTCATTGAATTATACTTCTTGAATAATATCTTCAAACCCTAGTCTTGTTCATTACCATTAATACCTCTACTATCTCTATCACTATGAGATTTGATTGGACATTTGCGTCTCTATGCTAATGTGGTATGGCAACCAGAACTTATGTGCATACGTACGAAGTTCTACGTTACAACTGACTGACTGACTGACTGAATATGATAAACAGTTGAAAGTTGTCAATAACAATAATAGGTGCAGGTAGTCGAAAGAAAAATATTGTCAACAAAGTGCAACTGTAATCTTCAGGGAACTACTAGTGCTCCCAGAAGGATTTAACCAGCTGACTTCACGTTCAGAGATGTTATCACTCAGATATTCAGGCCGTAACTGGTCTGTTTTACGTTTGATCATTGAGTAATGACCAATGTCATATTTGTCTAATATTTTCAGTGCTGATCAAATTGTCTACCGACGATGATGGGTTATGAATACAGTAAAATACAATAAGTTCACTATTCAGATCAAACACAAGTGTTTAATAGAGAGAGAGAGAGAAAGGAAGAGAAATCACTAAACTAACCTTTCACATGTACAGAATCTTCATAAGATCTTGAATCTCCATGGGAATTCTTTTCATGATCATTATTGGATGAAACATTTACGCCTGATACATTAGGCTTGATATCATCATCAACTAAATTTTTAATTGCTTGATCAGTTTCTTTGGAAATGTTTGTTGAATTTTGATTTGAATAACCGGATGGATTATTGTCTTCACCAATATCTGCCAGTAGTTCAGCAGCAGCTTCTGCAGCTAACGAACTATGCAAATCGGCATTTTCATCCTGAATTATTAATTAAACAGTAGTCGGAAAGAAAAACAGCATTAATTTGCCCATGTATTACAAGCAAGTAAAATTAACAGATTATCGTGTATATTGTATAAAAACGAGTAATTTCAACTCAATTGATAAACGTTTTTTAGATAACTTGTTATGCGTTGTTTAAGCTAAGTGAAATGAAACAATGTCATTAGGTGAATAGTATTGGAGTCTATGAAGTCAAATTGGAAATATTACAAACACACTGCTTATAATAACATTTGTTTTCAATATTCTCAAGTGTATCACCACTCCCGACCGTAGCTGCTACCTTGATGTGGTGGTCGGGCTTGCCTATCGTCATGACCCAACCGAGATATATTGGCTGGAACATATGTTCCTGAAGGTTCTATCATGCCAGGTAGGTCGATTGGAGAGACTAAAAACATGTCCATGAAGCCATTGACAAATGGACTGAGTCATGTCGGTAATTGTCGACTACCTGGTTGGGGTCCGCGAGATGATAATAATCGATGGTTAGAGACCTTGAATGACATGGCTCAAAATCGTTCGCAATGGCGCCGGTGCATTTATTCTTTGTGTTCTCTCAAATCCTAATCTTCTGGATTTTTCAACACCTCTAGTTTTGTCTTTCTAAACTTACCTCACTGAATCATACTTCTTGAATAATATCTTCTAATCCTAACCTTTCAGACTACTGCTAATACCTATCCTACCTCTTCTACTATTGGATTTGAATTGACAATTACATCTCTGTGCTGATGTGGTATGGAAACATGAACTGATGTACGTACGTACGAAGTGCGACGTTGAATCTGACTGACTGACTGACTGAAGTATCAACACTCCAAGAGCTAATATATATTCCACTAGTGTGTAAAATTGCAATGCACAAATAAAAGTTTAATTTTACTTTAATCAATATATATATATTTACATACTTATATATCGACTGTGAAATAATTTGACTGTTTCTCAATGAATGAGGGCTGTATTAACTTACTGTATACAGTGCAACTCAATATTCACATTGCCTTGCTCATTGAGAGCCAAAGTAGTGAAAAATAAAGCTTACTACAATGTGATAATGCGCTTGTTATGTTAAGACTGGGATAGAGTTTTTAAGGAGGAGAGAAAATATTAGTAGGCTATCTGTATTCAATTATTTGCAGCATCTGGATGAGACCAGTGCTGAATAAGTAAGGTAAACGTTGGATGTTCAGTAGTAGGCCAAAACAAAACATGGCAGAAATCATGAAGTCACTAACAACTGGATTGAGTCATGTTGGACAGACAGACAGATACAACGTAGAACTTTGTACGTAAGTACATCAGTTCAGGTTGCCATACCACATTAGCACAGAGATGCAAATGTCATATCAAATACGATAGTGGAAGCGATTTTAGAAGTATTAGCAGTAATGGAAAAGATTAGGGTTTGAAGTTATTATTCAAGAAGTATAATTCAGTGAGATAAGTTTAGAAAGACAAAGGTAGATGTGCTGACGAATCCAGAAGATTAGGATTTGAGAGAACACAAGGAGTAAATGCACCTGCGCCATTGCAAATGATTTTGAGCCATGTCATTCAAGGTCTCTAACCATTGGTGACTTTCGTCTCGTGGACCCCAACCAGGTAGTCGACAATTACCGACATGGCTAAGTCCACTCGTCAATGACTTCATGGATTTCTGCCATGTTTTGGTTTGGCCGTCCCTAACTTTCTTCCATCCTATTCATACACTACAAAACAAAGCTCGTCGAGGCAGTCTGTGGTTAGGCATACGTAACACATGTCCCAACCACCTCAACTGATGAAGTTTCAATACTTCATCTATTGATCTGCGATCCTTACCTGGTACTCGTTTCCTAGCGACAGCATTGCTTATACGGTTGTCCCATGATACACAAGCAATGCTTCGGAGACATCGAGTCATGTTGGTAACAGTAGATTGTCTAGTTAGGGCCCCTGAGTCGATAGTAACCGATCCTTAAAGACCTTGAATGACATGGCTCAAAATCGTATGCAATGGCGCGGGCTCGTCCACTCTCTTTGTGTTTTCTAAAATTCTAATCTTCTGAATTCTTCACCACTTTTATCTTTCTCTTTCTAAATTGACTTTACTGAATTATACTTCTCGAAACATATCTTCGAATCCTAATTTTCTCCATTACCAGTAATACTTCTACTATATCGACCAATGGTCATGAGAAATTCAGATTAGAATTTGAAAGAAGACAAAGAATAGATGTGCACCTGCTGCGCCATTGCAAACGATTTTGAGCCATGTCATTCAAAGTCTCGAACCATCAGTTACTATCATCTCGCGGGCCCCAACACGGTAGTAGTCTACACCTAATAACATGGGGATCAGTGCACCAAAACTGAGCACAATCAAATCTTTCCTATACCGCACATTTGTAAGTGACTTCATGGATTTCTGCCATGGTGTTGTAGTTTGGCTAGCCTTCAGCTGCAATTCTAAGCTACTATGTTAAGCTGTTCAGTTGAACAAACTTGAATATATCTAGTAACTAATAATCACATGAACATAAAGCTAAACTTACTCTCCACTACTATAATGCAGTTACACACAAACAAAAAAACAAAACAACTAAATATCAACAATACCTAGGAATTCACTGATAACAATGATCAAATACAATATATTACTATAATCATCACGAAATATCGCGATCAACAACCGTAGTAGTATAGTATATGTTAGTGGGACATAAATGGAATTAAAGCATGACTACGTTGCTACGCGCTGATTGGCTAATTTCCTATCCAATCAGCGCCTGATCGAAGCTTGGAGAACAGGATAGAAAATTCTCATATTATTAGCTGCATGCTGATTGGTCAAATCCAGTCCAGTCGATCACGTGAATTTTCTTCCAGAAGCTTTCTACATGTAAAGGCTATAAATAGACTAGCATTGTATTTATTCTTGCCTTCAAGCCTTCTTTGCCTTGGCTTTCGCCATCACCTCCAGCTTCTTATTTCCTTGCTATTTTGGAATACAATCCTTCCTGTTCAACCGTGTTTTGACTTTGGGGGACTTGTGCAGTGTTTTGTGTCAAAGAATAATAAGCAATAAGATTTAGCCGAGAATTAACTAAACAAGCCTTACAACAGCATAGTATAGTATAAGTATAGTATTCTTAGGTGAAAAGCACACTTACTGTTGTTGTTGTTGTATACGTTGGCGAATGTTGACTGTCACTATCCCCATGTCCTTTTAACTTCTTCTCTTCGACTAAATTCGACTCTGGAATTGTAGTGGATGTTGTATCATTCTCAGTGGTACCACCATCAGCCCCATCATCAACAACAGCATCATCATCATCATCACCATCGCCTTCATCATCATCATTATCAACTGTACCGTCCAATTGTGGAATAGTTTGAAGAATTGATGGTGTTGTATGAGTATTAGTATTATTACTACTAGGATCGTTCGTATTACCGCCAACACCGCCAACACCATGTGTTGTGTCATATGGATCTCGTCGAACTAAGGTCACTTGTGGTTGATTTGCTTGTCTTATTATTTGACCAGTGGTGGTACCACCTCCGGAAGATAAATACAAATTCGATGATGCTGGTATGGTACCTGTGGAAGATACTGAAATTGAAATAAAGTTTAATGTTTTAAATAGCATATTGACTAGTAACTTCGGATGACATATCCCGACTAGTTGAAGAATAATTGGTGTATATCATCAATCAGCAGAGGTAAAAGAGTAGACAGTTCATCTTAGTCAGAAAATCCATTTGATAGCAGTTACGCCTGCACGTAAACACGTCATTTTTGATATGCTCGAACTATTACGAGTTTACTTTAGTCGGAAAACGAGAGCGAGGATCGAGGATCCGGCGACACGACATGCTATTCAAATCCGATTATCCCAACCCCATATTGAATAAAAATAAGAAGTTTCGATAAGAAGTAGAACATGTATTCTACAAGCATCCAGAAAATACGAGGTCTGAGTCCAGAAGAGAATCAGGATGCATCAAAGTCTGTGACATTGACAGTTAAGACGACCAATAGAAAGCAACATTTGAAATGACAGTGATAGTCAGGACAACCAATAAGAAAGAACATTGGAGCGCATGACATTGATATCTAGGACGACCATAAAATTGACCAATAGGAATTGACCAATAATTAGATGAATATCCTAACAATAGCATACACTCTATTAATGATGACAATGGTAGTGAATGAAAATGGCTCAATTTGTGAACATCTGTCATTGGAATTCTTTACTTCAAGTGGTGTCCTTCAGGGATGTCCACTCTCTCCATTCTTGTTTAACTTTGTTGTAGATATGCTCCAAGATTTAACATTATCCTTGTCAGACTTTCCATGGGTGGACCATCCTACCAGGAGGATCGCTTTTTGACCTAAAATATGCCGATGACATAGATCTATTTGGTGAAGACAAGACGTAGACAAAATGTAGAGTCTTCTGACTACCCTGAGCAACAATGCAAGCATGTTCGGGATGCGGTTCCCACCCCCACTGGAAATGCAAAATGTTGCTTCAAGATTGGGTTGCATGTGCACTTGAACTAGTGATTGGGAGTGAAGTAGTTGGGCGTGTCGACCGCTACACTTATCTTGGGAGTCTCATCAGTACTGATGGCTTGGTGACTGACGAAATCGCAGCACTGATACAGAAAGCTTGATTGGCTTTTGCCAACTTGCCTCATTTATGGCGAAGGTGAGATGTCCGTTTGCTAAACAAAGGTAGAGTCTACCGTACGGCAGTTTTCTTCGTTCTCCGAAATCGATACGAAACATGGCCAGTGAGAGTAGAAGATATTCGTAGATTACTAGTATTCCATCGCAGATGTCTTAGAAAGATTGCTCGAGTATCGTGGCGCAACCGAGTTAGAAATGCTATAGTTAGGAAACGAGTACTAGGTAAGGATGGCTGATCAATAGCTGAAGTATTGAAACTTCATCAGTTGAGGTGGCTGGGACATGTTTTACAACTTCCTTGACGGGATGTTTCGTGGTGTAGAGGTAGATTGGAAGAAAGTTAGGGGCGGCCAAACCAAAACATGGCAGAAATCCATGAATTCACTGACAAGCGGGCTGAGTCATTTTGGTAGGTGTAGGCTACCTGGTTGGGGTGCACAAGACGAAAGTCATCGATGGTTAGAGACCTTAAACGACATGGTTCAAAATCGTTTGCAATGGCGCTGGTGCATCCACTCTTTGTGTTCTCTCAAATTCTAATCTTGTTGATTCTTCAACATCTCTACCTTTGTCTTTCGAAACTTAGCTCACTGAATTATACTTCTTGAATATTATCTTCAAATACTAATCTTCTTCATTACGAATAATACCTCTAATATCTCTATCACTATGGGATTTGAATTGACAATCGCATCTCTGTACTACTGTAGTATGGCAACATGAACTGTTGTACTTACGTATAAAGTTCTATGTTCACAACTGACTGAATTTGTGAACATAGTAATCTCTAAAGCATTTGATTTGAACTTTATACCTAGAATTGTGAACTGGAATCAGTCAACACTAATGTACATAAGAGTGATTATATTGAAACAAGATAAATCTACACACCACTACTCTTTATACGCACAATAAAAAAAGATAGTGCATTAGAGGTATTAGGGGGTGTAGGAAGGATTTGATTTTGACCAATTTGGTCTCGTGTGCTGTTATGGGTATGAGGGCAGATATCACTTCCCGGCTGCTCACACCGTGGAAGCGTGTTTCTTGAGGGACCTGAAAAGAAAGATAGATTAGTGTTGGACTTGGAGACCTAGGTACGTGACCGCAGAGCCTAAGGGATAACTGCTTCAGGCGGGTCACGCACGGCCTTTTTATGAAAGGATTTTTGAGGATTAGCTCCGTTCTTAAAGGCCCTTAATGGGCACCCTTGCAGCTGGCGACGGAAATCCGTGAGGTAGGGTGAGGTGTGACATTTTTAGGGTCGACCTTATCTAACCTCTTCCTTCCTTGTCAGAAGGCAGCATCGTTGCAGATGCTGATTGTCCGAGGGGAACACCTTACTGCTCTCACACCCCTCCATCACAGCCAGCAGTACGACAGCTACTACGACCTGTAGTAGCTGCTTTAAGTCTCATCGTTCTCCAATCGACCTGCCTGGCATGGTAGAAACTACAGGAACATATGTTCCAGCCAGTATAGCTCGGTTGGGTCATCACGATAGGCAAGCCCGACCACCACGTCAAGGTAGCAGCTTCGGTCGGGCATTGGATTGCACTCAGATATTATAGGATAAAGACGTACAACGTTTCTTAAGTAGATGAAAGGCAAAATAATTTCCAATGTGTATGAGAACCTAACACACAGGACAATTACATTTCTTTATAACATAAAAAAAGAAAATATATATATGTTGATTATCACACCGAAAAGAAGTTCACAACATTCTTACTTGTTGGACTCATGATAACTATTTGCTGTCCAGCTGGCCTATGTACAGAACCAGATACTTGAACTGTTGTCTGACCTGGACGGCATACACTACCGCCGGCGATTAAAATAGGCTTACCAGATGCAGACATTTGAAGCATCGTGGCAGGTATTGCCTTGATCACTTTGGGTACTGTAATAATAAAAACGAAAAACAAGTAAATTAAATAGGATATGTCATTGTTATGCCTGCACGTAAACACGTCAACTTGATATACTTGAACTATTACGAGTTTACCTAGTCGGAAAACGAGAGCGAGGATCGAGGATTCGGTGACACGACATGCTAATCAAATCCGATTACCACAACCCCCATATTCAGTGAAAATAAGAAGACGTGATTGGAAGTAGAATCTCTTTTCTACAAGCATTCAGAAAGTACAAGGTCCGAATCCAGAAGCTAATCAGGATCCCAGACTAGGGATCCGGGACCGGGTCCGGGTCATAAAACGTTACAGATAATGCGTTTTTATACATTTTGGTCGAATAGGAAACTGCATCGAAGTTTGTGACATTGACAGTTAAGACGACCAATATGAAGCAACATTCGAAGTGACATGGATAGTCAGGAAAACTAGTAAGAAACAACATTGGAGCACGTGACATTGATATCTAGGACGACCATAAAATTAACCAATAGGAACAGACCAATAATTCTTTTAGGATATTGGATGAATATCCTAACAGTCATCACAAATGAGGTATATCTTAGAGTAAGGCTTTAATGATTTTGACTGAAATAAAAGAGAGAGTATTTAGATAGCTGTTGTAGTAAGCAGTGAATTAAAATTCTTTGATAAAACCTGAACACACTCAATAATATGCAGCAGTGATTCTTCAGTTGGTTGATTTCCATAAACATTCAAAATAATTTAGACGAATAAACTTCTGTCTAACAAATTATGTAAGTTTTCATACGATAAGCCAACGGTCAGTCAGTCAGTCAGTTGCAACGTAGAACTTCGTACGTACGTACATAAGTTCGGGTCCGAAAGCTTTCTGTAAAAATCATCTTTTACATCGCGTCTGAACTGCAGTCAGTGGGGGGGGCGTAGGCTGATATGACGAAGAGGCAACGACGAGTGTCGCTATCCTTTCGAATCCTTACTGTCCCGTTTAGTCGGACGGCACACAAGCGACTATCTACAAGGATCCAGTGTAGGAGAGCTAGTTCTGCCCTACGATTCAGTCAGTCAGTTGCAACGTAGAACTTCGTACGTATGTACATAAGTTCATGTTGCCATACCACATTATTAGCACAGAGACGCAAATGTCACCTACGATTCAATGCTATACCTATACCAGCGAGACCCCTGGAAGTAGCATCGGGGCTTCCAGATACACGAAGAGTAAATCGAGCTGCTTCTTTGTCTTGATAAGGTGAAATCAAATTAATAACTTTACTAGGATCCTGTATGCGCCAACAGTGGGACAGAAATTCGGAAAAAAAATCAAAATTTATGTATTATGTTTAAGTAATAAGTAAGTCAGTACGTACGTACGTACGTAGGTCAGTTCAAGTTGCCATATCGCATTAGCACAGAGACGCTACTGTCAGTTCAAATCCCATAGTGGGGGAGATAAAAGAAGAATTACTCGTAATGGAGAATATTAGGGATCGAAGATACTATTCAAGTAGTATAGTTCAGTGAGATAATTTTAGAATAAAAGAAAGATAGAGATGATGAGGAACTCTGACGATAAGAATTCCGGCGGTTGGAGCTTTAAAAAAAGAACAGAGCTAACACTTCATCAAGTAATAAGTAAACTAAAATTTTTTTTCTAAAAAAGTAAAAAAACTTTACTGACCACCTGAACCGCCAGTAGTTGCTCCAACTGACGTTTGTTGTACAGTAATCGTTTTAGAAGCTGTTGATGATGGAGTTGTAGTGGAAACTAATTTAATTGGTTTAATTAAACCAGTTGATTTGTTTACAATGTGTACTACTTGACTTGGATTAGAAGTAACTACACCACCACCGGAGGAATTATTTGCAACAGAAACTGCAGAAACCATTTGTTTGCCACCAACAGTAATCAGCTATGTAAAAGAGAAAAAAAAAGATGAATTCATGTGAATACGGCAGAAAACTGAAGAAAGTAGCACGTGTTAATCTCAAACTGATCAATCAATTGAGGTGTCATGTAAACCATTAACTCATAATAAATTATACTATCTCATACAATCAGTCAGCCAGTAGTCGGCCAGACCAAAACATGGCACTAATCCATGAAGTCATTGACTAGTGGAATTGGCCATGTCAGTAATTGTCGACTACCTGGTTGGGGTCCGCGAGATGATAATAATCGATGGCTAGAGACCTTGAATGACATGGCTCAAATTCGTTTGCGATGGCGCCGGTGCATTTATTCTTTGTGTTCTCTCAAATCCTAATCTTCTGGATTCTTCAACACCTCTAGTTTTGACTTTCTAAACTTTTCTCACTGAATCATACTTCTTGAATATAATATCTTTTAATCCTAACCTCTCCGATTACTTCTAATTCCTTTACTACCTCTACTACTATTGGATTTGAATTGACAATTATATCTCTGTGCTGATGTGGTATGGCAACATGAACTGATGTACTTACGTACCAAGTTCTACGTTGCATCTGACTGACTGACTGACAGCCATTAGTCAGTTACAACGTGAAACTTTGTACGTACATACATCAGTTCGAGCTGCTATACCACATTAGCACAGAGATGCAATTGTCACTTCAAATCCCATAGTAGTAGAGGTAATAGAAGTATTAGCAGTAATCCAAGAGATTAGGGTTCGAAGATATTATCCAAGGAGTGTAATTTAGTGAAATCAATTTAGAAAGAGGAAGATGATGACGAATTCAGAAGATTGGGATTTGAGAGAACACAAAGAATGAATGTACCTGCGCCATTGCAAACGATTTTGAGCCATATCATTTAAAGTCTCTAACCATTGTTTACTAGACCCCAACCCGGTAGTCTACACTTACCAACATGGCTTAATCCACTAGTCAGTGATTTCATAGATATGAGTAATCTTTTGGTCTGGCCGCTCCTAGCTTTCTTCAAGCCAATCCCTAATCAGGTAACACTTGTCAAGGTAATCGGTGGTAGGGTATAACGTAACACACGCCCCAACACAAAAAAATCAAGGTAAACACAACCTTAATAAAATTATGCTAACTTATATCTAATGTTTATGCAGACTGAAATGGATGTAAACCCGGTGTTTAAAAAATGATAAATTTTTCAGGACAAGTGGTGTGTAGGTTGTCTGGTGGATACCTAACTATTTTAAGCTGATATAGCTCAACCTGACACGAATTGAAACTTCATAAAAACGCCCTGTACGCCCACATTGTTACACATCAGCTAAGCATAACAAGAATTTTACCATCTGTGATGTAAGACTGACTTTCACATGATCATTTGACTGATTAAGATATTAAGGGAGTCTCTCCAGACAAAGGTGTTACGTTTTACAGTCTCAGAGAAGACTTGACGTGTATATATCACTGCACTGGCAACTTTGTTAAAAAAGGTCTGTATGGGTGTTCAGAATGAACTCAAAAATACTAGTTTAAAAAAACTAGTGATGGGAAAAACCGAATTCTAATGATCCACTAGAAACTATTGCCAACGATAGGAACACCGAATGGACAGTAACTCATATACTTGCAGCTATGACAAGTTCACCTTACTCACTAAACGGAACGAAGATCAATGATTCAGTGATACGATAGGCTACTCTAATCCGATCGTCCCAGGCCCTAGTAACTAGAGGAAGAAGTCTTGATAAGATGTTAGAAAATGTATTCCACAGGCATCCAGAAAGTACGAAGTCGACAAGCACACAACTCAAGCTTATTTATACAATGATAAATTGCCATTGGTGAGAGCCACAAAATAGCATACTAAAATAATCTATCAACCAATGACAGTCAAGGATTTCCCGAGTAGAAGATGCAGGCTGAAGGTCAAAGTAAGCGTCTCTGGCGCGAAAACATGGAAATTCAAAATTTCAGAATAAAAATTACAAAATTAGGACCTTTTCCAAGTGAATTCTTGGGATCTAATGTCCACAACAGTAACACAGTTGAATCCTGGGATCTGCTCAAAGATAGACATGAATGGTTCTTGTTTTAGTTGTTATATAACAGGGTAGTGTGAATGTTGATTAGCTTTTGCTCTGTCTTTTGTACTATGATGGATATTTGTTGTAGGTTAGGTGAAAGTGTCATATTTGAAAGTTTTCATTAAATTACCTACAATCAGTCAGTCAACTGCAACGTAAGAATTTCGTACGTATGTACATAAGTTCATGTTGCCATACCAAATTAGCACAGAGACGCAAATGTCAAATCCAAATCCCATAGTGATAAAGATAGTAGGGGTATTATTCGTAATGAAGAAAACAAGGGTTTGAGGATATTATTCAGGAAGTATAATTCAATGAGATAAGGTTACAAAGACAAAGGTAGAGGTGCTGACGATAACAGAAGATTAGGATTTGAGAGAGCTCAAAGAGTGGATGCACTTGCGCCATGGCAAACAGTTTTGAGCCATGTCGTTCAAGGTCTCTAGCCAACGGTGACTTTCGTCTCGCGGACCCCAACCAGGTAGTCTACATCTACCAACATGAATCAGTTCACTTTTCTGTGGCTTCATGGGTTTGTGCCATGTTTTGGTTTGGCCGCCCCAAGCTTTCTTCCAGTCTAATTCTACACTGCAAAACATAGCTCGTCGAGGCAGTCGGTGGTTAGGCATTCGTAACACATGTCCCAACCACCTCAACTGATGAAGTTTCACCACTTCATCTATTGATTTGCCATCCTTACCTAGAACTCGTTTCCTAACGACAGCATTGCTTACTCGGTTGTCCCATGATACACGAGCAATGCTTCGGAGACATCGATGATCGAAAACTAGTAACCTACGAACATCTACTCTTAACGGCCATGTTTCGCATCCATATAATAGAACGGAGCGAACTGCTGCACAGTACACCCGTCCTTTGGCTAACGAACGGATATCACGCCTACGCCATAAGTGACGCAGGTTGGCAAAAGCAAATCTAGCCTTCTGTATCCTACAATCACAGTCGTATATGTGATACTGCATTTTCAGTAGGTAGGTAGTCTTTAAAATGAACTTATTGAGTCTGAATCAAAAATGAATTCAAAACATTTTTATTTTGACACGTTCTGTTTTTCCTTCAATTGGGTCTCAACATTATCGATGTATTCAATATTCCCAGAATAACATTCCCTATTGTAAAATGAATCAAAAATTCATCAAATTGGCATTTAATAGATTTTAAAACATTTTTCCACAGAATACTAGGAAAGGCAATCCAAATAATGAATAAAAAAACGTACATGTTGCTTTGGAGCGATTGGAGGACATGAACTTCGAATAATCGTTGGACCACATGGATTAACTCCAGTAGGATGTTGTGCTACAGTTGCGATGGCTGCTGTTCGTCCAGTAACTGTACTACCTGGTACAGGTGTAATTTTTAAACCTGTCGGTGTAACTACAGTCGGTCCCCTGTGACCAGGCATAGTAACGCATGAATTTGATAACACTGAACCAACAGCGGCAGCGGCAGCAGCAGCAACAGTAGTAGTAGGTAATCGAATAGGCGCTGGTATTGGAACAGAATTAGCCGTAGCTGGAGTGGTAATGAGAGGCTAGATAATGAATAAAATTAAACATTTATTAATGTTGCATAAATTTCCACTAAAAACCAGGGATTAAATATGAACATTTTGACAAATGGAACTTACTTGTGAAATAGTACCAGCTCTGGAAAAATTCAATGAACCAGCAGATACAGTGATTGGAGCTTTAACAATTCCACTTGTATCTACTGGTGAAGATGTTAAGGAATGTGTTGTTGAAGTTGTAGAAGGAGAAACATCATATTTTTGAATTTGTAAAATATAAGCATCTGCAGTAGGAACTGAACCCCATGTGACTTCAAGACTTTGTGTACCAGCACGTACTAATTGAACTCGTGTCGGAGCCGCAGGACGATCAGTTTCCAGAAACCATAAATCTTTAAAGCAAACCTATAAAGACAAAAACACACCTTGTAGTATGATGATATATGCTAGCAAAAACAATTAAAACACAGTTGTATCATAGATATTCAGCTTACTTGATTATTCCATGCTTTTCTATAACCATCACGACCGGACCAAATGTATAAACGACTATGAACAGCTACAGCACAATGTCCAGCACGAGCTCGAGGCAGTAGGCATTCATCAGTGACTTCCATTGTTAATGGTTCCCATGCCATTGTATCAAGATTAAGACTAGCTAAAGTATTTGTACATTTCCATTCTTTTTCCTGGGCTGTCATTTTAATTTCTTCCATGACCAATGGAACCCATCCACCGAAGACAAACATGCTAGTTAATAAATTTAGTGTTAAATTAAAGCGATGAGTACAACATATGGAAGTGTACATATAGAAAATCAATTGATTAACAGAAATATTTTTTAAAAAAAAATTCAACCAAGTGCAGAGAAAAAAAAAACACTAATCGAAATTGATTTTTTTAAAGGAGGATGTTATTAAATAGCAGCCAACTACATTAAACCAGTGACGTACTTATTTTTTGCCCAAGGTTGTTTGTTTGCTGAGAAATACAGAACAATAAAATACAACAGCACAGCTAAAAGCAAAAAGTCTCAATAACTGATGTTATGAATGCTTTGGACAGATGCAATAGTTTCGGCTAATATATATATGGGTAAGTAGTGGATTTAGGAGTAGTATTGTAGTGCGCGCTACTTATAAGTAGTATATGACGTGAGTGTCAACGTAATGTCTGACAGCAGAAGATGGAGGGGAAGATCAAGAAAGTAAGAAGGGTGGGAACACAATGGAATTTGTATGAAATGCATGAACAGAGTGAAATGTCAGACAATGGAGATGATGAATTGGATTGAAGATTTGCAAATTAATCGTTTACGAGATATGGTTTTCCTTCTTTTACTGAGTAACTCTGTAATTTTCGTTTAATACAATTCGGTTGCCCTCACCTGTGTTCTCCTTCACTACAGTATGACATGAAACTAGATACGATCAAAATTAACAATAAGAAAGAATTTTCCCATCAGGTTGATTCACATGACCTAAAGACCTTCGCATGTCAATTGGATTAATGCTAGCCTATCTCTATTCTCAAACAGTGGATAAAACTTTAATTTATTTTTAATAAAAACTTGTTTTGAAAGTTGAACACTCGATTGATTCGCTGAAGAAGCTGTAAAAATCATTTAATTTTACTTGTATTTACCATGTCATCTAGACATCATTTGTTGTTGAGAAACCTATCAATATTACTGGTTAAATTTCAAAAAAACCTAAAACAAAGACCTACTTAGTCTGAGTTATACACAACGTATGACATGACACAAATGTCACGTTTCACACATTAACAGACTATGAAATCAATGACAGACAGAAGAGTGGAAATAATATCACATCATATCCTTTGTGAAAATATTCAAAGCAGGCAATCTGTTTTGTAAGTTGCGATAAAGCACTGAGATAATATGAATCGACCAGCAAAAATACTCTGTTTTCGCATAACATAGATCATTTTACAGTGTACTGTGAACACATAATATATTCTTTAAACTGTATTGTTGCTGCAGACAGACAGATACAACGCAAAACTTCGTAGATAAGTACATCAGTTCAGGTTGCCATACCACATCAGCACAGAGACGCGGATCTAAATTCAAATCCAACAGTGATAGCGATAGTAGAAGTATAATTCAGTAAGATAAATTTAGAAGGAGAAAGATGAGGAATGATGAGGAATTCAGAAGGTCAGAATTAGAGAGAACACAAAGAGTGGATGCACCTGCGCCATTGCAAACGATTCTGAGCCATGTCATTCAAGGTCTCTAACCATTGGTGACTTTCGTCTTATTGCTGCAATGGAAGGCCACAGATTAGAAACATAGTTCAAGAGAAAAGAATAAGAATTATGAAACAACAATAGGCTCAAAATGTTGCAGGAAGATAGAGAACCAATGATTATTGGGTCAATGACTGACCAAAGTCGCATAATGAATGTATCCAAACAAGTGACCAATGGATGTTATCAAATTGTGGGAAAAAAAATCAAACGTTATTGAAACTCGGCAAACGTGACCTTGATTGAAACAATATTTATGACTCGTCTGTTTAAATCACACCATCATGGTTTTCAAACCCTAACAACTTCATCAGAATAATTCACATACACAATGGTGCTTCATGAATTGAAGCAACATTATAGGCGTCTTGCCGTAACTATTTCCCTCTTGGTTTTCGTGAAAGAAATTAGCACGCTAACAGTGTGGTGTCTAGATTCTGAATCCCCATGGATTTTATTCCATTAGAAGACAAATGAACGAGTATATTTTGTGTCTGTTAACAATTCGATAAGAACTTTTAGTACATGAGAAAATTCTGACAGTTTCGAAGCAAATTTAATATCACCTGTTAGTGGGACATAAATGGAATTAAAGAATGACTAAGCTGCTACGCGCTGATTGGCTAATTTCCTGTCTAATCAGTGCCCGATCGATTCTTGGAGAACAGGGTAGAAAATTCTCGTGTTGCTAACTGCATGCTGATTGGATAAACCTAATCCAGTCGATCACGTGAATTACTACTATCTAGAAGCTTCTCATGAAAATACTATAAAGAAACTAATGTTGCATCTATTTTTGCCTTCGCCTTCGGCTTCTTATTTCCATTTAACCTTGCTATTTGGAATATAATCTTTTCCCGTTCCACCGTGTTTTTGATTCTTTGGAACTTGTCCGGTGTATTGTGGTCAGAGAATACTAAGCAATAGGAGTTAGCTGGAAATTATACAAACAAGCGTTACAACATCACCCTAAAATAAACAGTCAATTCTAATAACCTTTTGTACTATGAATGCAAAACAGACAAATAGTAACATGAAAACAAAGTGCCTTGACGCACACTATACCATTTACGAATAGATATCAAAGCGTAAATAAAGTAAAATCTGATGCATCAATGAAACGAGATTCTTTCCAACACTTACCGATTTCCAATAACAGTTGCACTATGTAGACTGCGTGGTGCCGGTAGATCACCACTGATAACAGGTTTGATCCATGTCATTGTATCAATTTCTAATTGCCAAAGATCACCAAGTCGATTACCGGACATGCCACCATAGACTAAAAGACGCCATTTTTTTATCATTCCATCAAGAACTTGATAAGCTACTGCACTATGAGATTCTCTAGGTGTAGGAGGTTGACCATAAGTGTTTGGAATATCCCAACACATAGTACTTGAATTGGGTTTCAATTCCAGAGTATACAGATCATTCAAGTATCTAATTATCAAAATAGTTTATAAAAGAAAGAGTATAAATGGCTTGAGATATAACCATGAACAAACCTCTGGTAGTTAAAATGAACAAGAAGCCGATTGATAAATGATTAATTGTGATACAACAATTTAGTCGGATGATAATTCCCAGAACTAACGAAATTCCAGCATGAACTGACATCGAAACACAATATATGTAGCTAATTGAACTTCATTTCTTTCCAGTGCAATAATTTTTATGCACAAAATACCACATGCAAAAATAAAATTTCAACGTTACCGAACACAAATAAGCAATTAGATAATATGTGGATTTTCTACATTGACCGACCATCCAAATTAAATCAGGTCATTTAAAAAAGAATTCACACCGGTATAGAAATCGATAATTCCGCTTATATTTATTCGGAATATTTTCAAAGGGATGAAATTAAGATTATTAGGACTTAAAAGAATTAAGAATATAGCCCAGACAGATTTAGTTCTAAATAATTCGAAGAAGTGAATTTCTTTTAACTGGAAAACTAGTAAACCCTAGTTATATAAATCCAAACTAGAAAATAAGTAATGGGGACGGTGAATGAACATAGCTTCACATAAAATCAAGTTTTGGAAAGTGGTTTAATTAAGTCTTTAGTACAGTAGGGTGACTGGAAGTTGGTGACAGAAATATATTTACCTTTGAGTTATCATTAGACAGTAAGATCAGCCGATACCATCTCTACAACTACTAAACCGATATCACTTTTACTCAATACCTAACACAATACTGGATGACGCTATTACATATCTTAGCGATGCCCCAAAGATACACAGTAGAATAGTTTTATTTGACACATGTATAATTTCATCATTTCTCAGACCTATGGATAGACATGGGAGGTGCCTCGTAGCAATTTATCCTCTGGCCTGAGCCGAATTTACAGCATAAGAATCCTGGAATAATCGGGTACTGAAAACATGTTACAAATAAAGTGATATTGAATGTCAAGGGAAAGACAGCCACACACTACATAAAACCTGAATGGCTAATCGACGTAAGTCCTCCGACTTTTTATGAAGTTGAGAATGCTGTAGGAAATCTAAAACGAGGGAAAGCAGCGGACTCAGAGACTGATCCCTGATATCTTCAAGGATGGTGGTCCAGTTTTAGCAGTTAGATTGACTAAGAACTTAGGTAGAACTGGAACTGGACGTAATCTCATCCAACTTGTCTCAATCCCTGATTATCCTAATTTATAAGAATAGACAAAAGTCCTTTTGTAACAATCACAGAGGGATCAGTTTAACTTAGTGTCTAAATTTTTAGCCTCGATTATCCATAGACACCTAACTAGAGCTCGTGAAGAGCAGATTGGAGTAAACCAGGCTGGTTATAGACCTGGACGTGGATGTATAGACCACATTTTCACACTACGACAGGTCCTAGAACAAATACACGTTCAGACGCCCCACAATAGTTGTCTTTCTGGACCTTAAGGCAGCATTCGACTTTGTCGATCGTGAGGTTCTATGGCAGTGTCTGTCATTGAATGGTGTACCAGAGAAGTACATTAACCTCATACAAGCTACTACTCGAACACTACAGGTCGAGTTAGAGCTCATGGCGAACTGTGATCAGAATTGATTACTTTAAGTGGTGTTCGTCAGAGATGTAGACTCTCTCTATTCTTGCTTAATTTTGTCATAGACCAGCTTCTAGATATAACGTATTCGTCTGACTTTTCAGGGGGTGAACCTTCTACCAGCAGACAAGCTTGTTGACTTAGAATATGTCGATAAAATAGTTCCACATGAAAACGCCGATGAAATGCAGTCTCCTGAATACTCTAAGCTACAATGCATGTTCAGGATGCGATTCTCCATTTCCCCGAATACGTCTACTATCTCTGCTGCTATGGGATCTAAACGGACAATTGTGTTTCTGCGCTAATGTGATATGGCACCTGAACCTACGTACGCACGTACAAAGTTCTGTATTGTAACTGACTAACTGACTGAAACTGTGCTCGTTGATCCAGTCTCCTGGATGGAGAATCGGTAATAACCCCATCTTTTTCTGAGTCTGGCTAACGGCCAAACTTCTGATACCAGTCTTTCCGATAAAAGTAAACAGCTCTCTATTGTTACTTGACGCTGCTGCCTATTTCATCTCTTCTGTTTTCGCTACCCACCACTGCTCACGATCGTTGCGCAAGCTTTTTATCCACTTTTGTCTAAGCTTTATCCACCCCTCATCGTATTCAGAGCTAGACGGCACGAGTAACCGAGAGTCTATCGATTCAGTAGGTGCCACTGAATCCCACTGAATTTTTCTAACCCTTAAAATAGCTTAGTTTTTATATGGCTACACTTGATTTATAAAATATTAAAGTTTCCCATTGTGAAAATTAGGACAACATATATTAGCGGATTATATTGTTTTCAATCACATTGTCTACATCAATATTTATATGAAAATGTTAGACTGGTCAAGGTAACTTATGAGTCAATGATCACAATGATAAAAAATTACACATAATAGGTAAAAGTATAAGTTGGTGGTAGGAGAACAGGTGTACTGGTAGTAGTAAGAATAAAATACCATAACAAAAGTTCTTGTCAGTAGAGCAACATTGGAAGTAGTAGGTTTAATATTTTCATATAAATATTCATGTATACTGGAATAAGGCCTCGTTGAAAACAATACTGGTCGCTTATAGATGTTGTTCTGCTTTATAAAACTTACTAAGTTTTATTTCAAATTTACAAAAGAAAAAATGACTCCTTAGCGCAAACAAGAAATAAAGTAGAGGAGAAACTAAGTTATAGAAACCAAAACTTGTACCATGAGAAAAATATCGTTTTATGGACTAACATCTAGAAATCTGAGAAACTATTCTACGCTAACTGGTGGTGGTTTTCTAATTACATGAGGATATTTTTCAGTGCGAATTCATTCCATAAACTCTAATTGGTTTTAAAACATTGAGTTTAATGCATTAAGTTTGATGTTATAAAAGTTAACCAACGGTTAACAGACATAAAGGAGATTCCCTGAACTTAAATTTTGTTCGAAAACATGCTAGTAACCAAGAAAAATCAAAAAGCCATGTATCAATTAGGATTAAAGATTAGCGCATACTCTTCACTGTACACAAAGTTACACAACCACAACTATTAAGCAATACATGACCAACAAAACAAAAAATTGAAGTGATTACCTTGGTATATTGTTTTTAGGGTCATCACTATCATTTGTTATTCCACCAAATAAAAATGCACGTTGGCCGACAAGCGTGAAACTGTGCCCTACCAAAAAAATCAAGGTAA